TGAACCCTAGGCCCCATTTGTCAGCGGTACTTTTTCCGGACCGTGCTGATTTGTGATGGCCTCGGTGCCTGAATCGGGACGAAAACATCCGGCGTGAACAAACATCCAACGCCCGGGTCCCAGGGACTTGGGGCCGAGGTCGTGCGTCGTGTTGCGCAGACGGGCCTCGCAGCGCCGGGCGGCCGGGCGCTGCGGGCGCCTCGGGTGGGCGGCTGCGGCCGATAGCTGGCGCCGCGCTCGCTGGCCCAGCGTCAGGAGGGGGAAAAACACACAGACACGATTAATCGTCGACTTCCCAGAAAATATATGAGAAAATATGGGAAGTGGGTGGGAAGACAGGAGCCCAGAACATATGGGGAAATATGGGGAATCTCTTTCTTTGTCTGTATTTGTTTGTGTGTCCTGGGGCCCCTTCGCAGCGGCTGAGCGGAGCTGGGCAACCGCTCCTCCCTCCTCCTCCTCCCTCCTCCCTCCTCCTCCTCCTCCTCCTCCTCCTCCTCCTCCTCCTCCTCCTCCTCCTCCCTGGGTCCCCCCTTCGGCCGCCCCCCGCACTGGGCGAGGGGCGGGGGGAGGCTCGTGGTCGCAGGGCGGCCCGCTGCGGGGGGCCAGCGTGGGCAGCTGGCTGGCTCTCCGGGCTCCAGCCTTCTCGCGCTTGCTCTGCCTTCGGGCCGCGAGCCTGTCCAAGGTGAGAGCATCGATCGGTGTGGAGGTGAGCCCCGACTGCAGGAGGAGGGGGGTGGGGAGCAGGAGGAGGAGGAGGAGGAGGAGGAGGAGGAGGAGGAGGAGGAGGATGTTGAGGATGTTGAGGATGTTGAGGATGTGTGTGGTGGGGGGTGGGGGGGCGAGGAGGGAAGGGGAGAAGCGGGGGTGGATGAGAGTGAGGATGAAAAGGATGGGAGGAGGAAGGGGGACGAAGCGGAGGGGGAGGCGGAGGAGGAGGTGGAGGAGGAGGTGGAGGAGGTGGTTTACGACGATGACTATGATGATTATAATGGTGGCCGTGATAACGAAGAGGAGTATGATGATGAATGATGGTGCTGGTGGTGGTGAGTATGATGGTGATGATGACGATGCTGATGATGCTGATGCTGATGATCATCATGATGATGACAATGATGAGGATGATGGTGATGATGCCGATTCTGATGATGCTGATGATGACGATGATGATGCTAATGTTGATGCTGCTGATGACGATGATGATGCTAATGTTGATGCTGCTGATGACGATGCTGATGACGATCATGATCAGGATGATGATTATGGTCATGATCATGACCATACTGCTGCTGCTGCTGATGATGATGATGAGGAGGAGGCGGAGGAGGAGAGGGATCAAAACGAGGAGGACGATGAAGAACATGTGGAGGAGGAGGAGGAGGCGGAGGAGGAGGAGGTGGAGAAGGCGGAGGAGGAGGAGGAGGAGGAGGAGGAGGAGGAGGAGGAGGCGGAGGAGCGCCCTATCCTTACCTTCATAGCTAGCAATGGCCCGCGTTGGTGTTTGAAAAGGTTGCCAGATCTCTCACCAAGGCCATGAGTGGAAAAGAATTCACCGATGAGGGATTGGGACTTGCTCTCTCTTTTTGCTCCTGGTTTCCCCAGGATCCGTATCTTCAGTGATCCCGTGCCGCTGGTATGGCTGTGGGGTGGGTAGGTAGGGACCCCTGGCGTCACAACTGCCCCCCGCGCTGGTCGTGCTTCCCTCTTTTTTCCCCTTCACCTGGGGCAGGCTGCGTTCTCAAGAGCCTCGAGTCTGCGAGCGAGCGAGCGAGCGAGGCGGAGGAGGACAAAGAAGAGGAGGACGACGAGGATTAGGAGGGCGGCGGCGGCGGCGCGCCCGCCGAAGTTTTGGCTCGGGCGTGCCCTGGGCGGCGAGGGCCCGAGGGGGGGGCGCCAGCCGCGCGCGCCGGCGCCGGCCCGGGGCCCGGGACTGGCTGCGCGCGCCGGGAGCCGACGCCGCCGGGCCCCGACGCGTCCAGGCCTCCGAGTGGGGCATCTGATACGACGTCCAGGAATAGTGCGGGGACAATTTTTCCGCCACGTTTTCTATTCTTTTTGAATACAGTGGGGGCGCGTGCCAAGAGACCAGTTGGATTTTGCCAGGGTGCCCTGGGTTTCTTGGACTTCGATGGGTCCCCAATAGGACCTGGATGATTCTCGATCGACGAATTTGGGTTTTCATTCAACAAATCGCGGATTTCAGGGTTGGGTTTCTTGCGGAGGTTTCTTGTGGCCGAGGCCCCACTGTATTCTGGGGGTATTTTTCATTTTTCGCCCAAGATCCCCCCTGTAGGGGGGACACGCCCGACTTAAATCTAAAATGGTCCCGAGCTGGAGCCTTTCTCTGATGTGTCCAGGCCAATCTAACACAGTGGCCCCGAGCTGGAACCATGTGTTTTTACATGTGCGGGTCACCCACTGGGGGGCATCTAACATGTGGTGGTCGCCTGGGCGCACCCAGCTGGGGGCCCACAAGAGCCACACAAAATCAGTACATTGACACCAGATGTTCCCCAACCAGTGCTTGCATTGAACGGGTCCTAGCGAAAGTTGGAAAGATTTGGCGAAAGTTGCGCGCCGATTTTGGCAGCAGGCTGGGCTCCCGGGTTCCCGGTTCTGGGTTCCCGGGGTCCCAGTTATTGGATCCAGGCCGATTTCGGTGGGTTCTGGGTTCCCCGGCTCCCGGGCTCCCAGTCGATCTCCTCGGCGAAAACCATCCACTGATTGGGATTTTTCTCTGGTGTAATTTTCCTGCTGATGTCACAGATCCTGCCTGGTGGTCTCCTGTTGGAGATTCGGCCGGAGCTGCCTGCGTGGCAGCGCGTCTCGGCCTCTCCGAGCCGCGCGGGTCTGGGCTGTGGACCCAGGAGGCGTGTCGGGAGAAGGATTTCCGGCTGGGCGGTCATGGCTCGCTTCGATTCCTCCGATTCGATTCGATTCGACTTTGATGGCTTCCGATCCCAATTCGATCGAATTTGGGATTGCGATTTGGGTTCCGATTCCTCACTGGAGGCATACTAACTTGTCGATGTCCGCAGATTCAGGTTTTCCCGTCTCGGCTGCCGATTTCCGCCGATCCGATTCCTTATGATTGCCGATCCGACTTCTCGATTCGATTCTGGGCTCTCCTGGGCGGTGCAGTAATTGGGGCACCCGCCTCGGATGCCCCCTGGACGCCCTATTGGCAGAAGGGGAACACAAAAGTCGTGTGCCCCGAGACCTGCTCTTGGTGGCCCCGAGGCCCAATGCCGGGCCCCCGAGGGCTCCCCGGACTCAAGCACCCGGATCGTCTGAGAGCTGGGCTCTCGGGTCATGACTCGGGTCTCCTGCGGCCGCTCGGGAGAAAGTCTGGGCACTCCGGGAACGCCCTCGGCGGCTCCTCCCGAGGCTGGCAGCCCGCCGAGACCCGGGGAGGCCTCGGAGACCTCGAGCCCTTCGAGTCGTCGCCCGGCCTGCAGACATCGCATCGTCGGAGGTCTGGGCCGTGCGCGGGGCGTCCGCCAGCGCGGGCCGTCTGTCCGCCCTCCGCGTGCCCCGGGCGGGCGCACCCGAGGCGCGCGCCCGGGGAGGCCTCGAGGCTCGGGCGGGCGCCGGCGGGCCGCCGGCGCGTCCTCCCGAAGAGCGGGCAGGGCCCTGGCGGCACGCAGAGGAGTGGCCCTTCGCCGGAGTGGCCGCTGGTGCGCGCTCGCTGGTCGGGTGCTGCTAGAGTCGGGGGTGGACAGAACCCCCCACAGTGACACGTCGACTGGTGAATTGTCCGTGTTCGGTTCCCGAGATGGCGCCGTGGCCGTGATTTTCCAGGCTGGCGCCCGCCAGGTTTGGGCCTCAGGTCGTTTTCACTAAGCCACGTTTTACTAAAGGGGGGTCTGTCCATCCCCGATAGAAGTACCCCTGGCCCACGGTGCTCCCAGGATTCTCGGGGTGGCCCAGGCGGCCTCCAGGGCACCCCTCGCGAGGCCCAGGGGGGGCCCCAGGGGCCTCCCAGGCTCCAAACTAGTGCGAGAAGCTGGGGGCACCTTGGGCCACGGGCACTTCTGGCAACACCCGAACGGGGGTCCCCCGCTCGCCGCGCCCGCTGCGATATATCTCGCGTCTTGCGCGCTCGTGTGTTGGCCTCCGCGCGCCCCCCCCCCCAAGAAGCCGGGCGCCAGAGGTCGCTCTTGCCCAGGGACACTCCTATTGGCGTGTCGGGTTGGCATGTTTGGTGTCCATGTCGCATGCGTCGACTGCGCTCCGAAGCCCTCGGAGAAGCTTCCGAGCGCCTGGGGAGGGTTGGTCGGAGCTTCGACTCGCAGTGGCGGTGCCCGACTCCATGGGGTGGGGCCCCATGGCATGGCTGTGAACCTCGGGGACACTGGTCTCACCAGGACGTGGGCGCGCCCGACAAACCTGGGCCGAGGCATTCTCCAGTCTTCGCTCTCTCCAGGTGGCATACAGTGTGGACGCGCGTCAAGAGACCATCTGCTTTTGGTCAGGGTATCCTGAGTTTCTTCGCTCCGCGCGCTGCGCACTGACTTCCCGCAGCTGCTCGAGAAGCTGCTGCGTCCTGGGTGCTCCCAGTTCTCCCTCGGGTGCACCTCGGCTGCGCGGGCTTTCAGGGCCGGGTTCCTCGCGGGGGCCTCTTGCGGCCGCGCCCGCACTGTGTTCCGAGTCTTGGCTCGCGGTGCCCTGGTCTACAGTGAGCGGCTTGAGTAAGAAACACTTGCTGTTCAAAAGGGGCTCGGTCGTTCCCTAGGCTTGCATGCGTTATCCATCGTTCCGTATGCGTTTTTCTTAATGTACCGTTCCTTATGCATTGTTCCTTGGAAAACAAAGGGGCTTCGTTCCTTATTGCTCGTTCCTTAGGTCAGGCCGATGGCTCTACGGGGCCCGGAGGAAGTCTGCCAGCGCGGCGGGCGCGGCCGGTCCTGCCGGGCCTCGCGCGCGAGCCGCCCGCGCGGCGCGCGCGCTGCGGCCGGCGCGCCCGGGCTTCGGCCGGCGGGCCCGCCGCCGACGGCCCCATGGCGGGGCGGGCCGCGGCCGCGGGCGCCGCCGCGGCGCACGGGGCCGCCGGCCCGAGGCGCGCGCGCTCCTCGGGCGCGCGATTGTCGTCGTCGTCGTCGTCGTCGTCGTCGTCGTCGTCGTCGTCGTCGTCATTGGCGGCGTCGTCGTCGTCGTCGTCGTCGTCGTCGTCGTCGTCGTCGTCGTCGTCGTCGTCGTCGTCGTCTCCTCCTCCGCCTCCCCCTCCTCCTCCTCCTCCTCCTCCTCCTCCTCCTCCTTGCCTTCTTTTGTCATTGCGCTGGGCAAACATCGGTTAGATGGCCGTTGCGCCTGGAAGCTGGTAGCAATCATCTGTATCCGACCTGTGCGATGTGACAGACACTCAAGCCGAAAGGCGTGCAGCTGGAGCAGGCGTGGCAATGACATCAAGAGCAAGTACAGAAGCCCGTAAGGTTGTAGAGCACGCGAGCAGGAGGGTGGTGGAGGAGGCGAACGAAACAGTACCAATAGCGATTAACACGAATTTATCATTTAGGGATGCGCCGAAAGCAGGCGGCGATCGAACTGCGTTGCTTCCCATCGTCCTCTTCCGTCTCCTCTTCCTCTTCCTCCTCCACCTCCTCCTCCTTCTCCTCTTTTTTTCTACCCTTTTTCTTCTCCTCCTCCTCCTCCTCCTCCTCCTCCTCCTCCTCCCCGCCTCCTCCTCCCTACCTCCTCCCTACCTCCTCCCTCCTCCCCTCCCGCCTCCCTCCATCCTTTTTCTCCTCCTGCTGCGTCTGGGTGGCCGACGCAGCGCGCAGGCCGTTGCTCCTGCCGCTCGTGCTCGCCTTCCTGGCGCGGGGCGTCTGCGGCGGCGTCAGTAAGGACCCGCGGGCCCATCTGGGGGCGTCTGTCGCTTCGTCCTTCGTTTCCCCCTCTGTGCTCGTGTCCTCCTCGTCCTCGTCGTGCCTCGTCGTCGTCCTCGTGTGCCTCGTCGTTTCTGTGCTCGTGTCCTCGTCGTCCTCCGAACCTCGTGGGCTGGTGCGTTGTTGTCCCTGAGCCGACGCCAGTCGCGCAGCAGCGCCCAGGGGACCCGCGGGGACCACCCGGGGGAGGCGGGAGCCGAGGAGCTCCAGGGGGGGGGAGGGATGCGGGAGATCTGACCCAGATTTCCGACGATATGATTTCTCCAATCCGGGCATTAGTTACTCTTCGGTTTCGTCCTTCGGGGCCCGCTTTCGGGCCCCTGGTCCAGGGCCATCAAACATGACTCTGGGACGATTATGTGGCCCCAGGGAAGCAGTCAGGAACTCTGGGGCCGCGCATTGAGGGAGCCAGGCTCCACCGGGGTGAGATCTGGGCGCTGCATTTTTTTTTTAAGCTGGGCGTCTTTGCCTGGCTTCGGGCCTCGGGTTCCTCCCTTTCCTCGGGGCCCTCGCAGATCGATGCGGCTCGAGAAAGCAGAAAGACTGGGTCCAGGGTGCTTCTTGGGTTTTTGTTCGCGATGTTGCCTTTTTTTCGTCGCGTCTCTTAGAGCCAACTTGGAGCGTCTTGGGGCCTCTTGTAGCATCGTGGGAGCCATCTTGAGGCATCTTGGGATATCTTGAGCCATCTTGGAGGTCATCTTGGGCTCTCCCAGGCGCTCTTGGAGTCATCTGAAGCAGTGCCGCCCCCCAAGAGGCCAACATGGCCACGGGGGGGGGAACCATTTTCTGGCGGATCTCGGCCCCGGGGGCTCTCGCGGGGCCCAGGGACGGTAAGAGAACGACTGCTGGGGGAGAGGGCCGAGCTCCCGGGGAGGAGGGGGGGGAGAGCTGTGGGCCATGAGCTGGCAACCACTGTGGAGGACGATCAATGAGGAGGAAGCATGTTGTCAAATAGTTTTCAGAAATCTAAAGCATGTGTTAAGCATATTTTGAACATGTAAAAGCCATGTTTGAAACATGTTAAGAACACTTTTCCGACATTTTAAGCACACATTAAATTCAATGATAGGACTGTACAAGGCAACCAGCACCCGAGCTTATGCGGCTCTCAGGTTTCGCGGGGTGGGATCATCTAGGCCTCCTGGATGTGGCCGGTGCAGATGGGATCGGGAAGATCGCGCCGCATCGCCGATGAATCGGCGTTGCGGCTCGATGTGGAGACCGATTTGCTTCACGCCCACGTCGCCGATGCATCGCCGACGTCGACGAACTATCGCCGATACATCGCCGATGCATCGCCGATGTATCGCCGCTGCGGCGCGAGCCTCCGACGCCATCTGCTCCGGCCCCATCCAGGAGGCCTCGAGATTCGGCGCGGGTCCGTGCTGCCGCACGGGGGCTCTCCCAGCTCGAGCGGCGGCCCCCGTTCGGGGTCTGACGACCCGCGCCCGTACCTCTATGGCGCGCGCTCCAGTCGCGAGGCGCGGGTCAGCGCCTCCTGGAAGAGGTACGAGGGTGTGTTGTCCGTTCGTCTGTAAGGGAGCTGAGCCCCAGGGGGGGGGGCAACGTGTCTGGCGGCTTGCGACCTCGGGGGGGACCTTCGTCGGGCCCTGCGGCGGCAGGAAGGCATTGCAGGAGCAAGCGCCAGTGCCAGGGGAAGGGTCCAGAGCTTTACGGGTCCACGATGCGGAGAAAACAGGCACAGCGGTGGAGGACTGGGCCCGCTCCGACTTCCTGGGTCCGCGCTGGGCCCCCTCCCTGGCGCTCGGCGAGCGCGCCGGGGGCGGCGCCGAGGCGCCGCCAGGGAGGTCCGGCGCCAGTCCAAGAGATTCGCGCGGGTTAGAGTTTATATTTCTGGGTTGCTTCTTGCGTTTCTGGCCCTTCCGCTACTAGGGGAACAAAGAGTAACGTAAATATAAAAACTCGGAGGTCTGCGCGGATTTCTCGGATCGGCGCTTGTGCCCCCCGGCGGCGCCTCCGGCGCCGCCCCTGGCGCGCTCCGCGCGCCAGGGAGGGGGGTCCAGCGCCGATCCGAGAAATCCGCGCGGACCTCCGAGTTTTTATGTTTATGCAGCTTTTTGTTCCCCTAATGACAGCTCTCGACCATAAGCTGGGGTCCAACAGCCTGCAGCTGAGCTTCGGCTGGTGTTGGGCCTGAGCATGCCTGAACCAAAGGGTTGCGGGGAGTTGCCCTCAAACCTGCAATCGCAGGCTACGGTATGGAGGGCCGTGGCCTGCTTTTGTTCCATGATATATCTTGCGCGCGTGTTACCTAGGGCAATAGTTCCATTCCTCTTGCGTGTACGTCGTCAGCATCCAGTTTGGCCCAGACGAGCTCCGCAATGGACGAACCGTTAGACGCGTACCGACACGAAGCTGCATCAACGCGTTTCTATCTTCCAGTTTGACTGTCTCAACTGTGTCAGCAGCCGCCCCTTCTCCGTCTCGCTTCCACCGGACGCGGCCTCCTCCGGCGCACTGGGAGGACGCCGTCGCGCACGTGCAGTGCCAGGTCTGTGAGCAGGCCGCGAGCGAGGCGGTCGATTTCGCAAAGGAGAACGCGATCAAGGATTGCTTTCGCCGTGGCCGCCGCCGCCGTGGCCGCGGCCGCCGACGCGGAGGCTGCTGGCGCAGCCGTCGCCGTGGTCGACGGTTGGATGCTGGCGTGCTGCTCCGGGAGAGGGGCCCCGTGGCGAGGGGGGCGGCTCTTCTTTGTCTGCCTCGCAGCGCCTAGAGCACACACACACACACACGCACGATGTGTTGGCTGATGCCACGATCGAGAGTGAAGGGCTGCACGGCTGGCAGGGTAGAAGGTAAAGCAGGCTGTCCAAGAAGGCACGCCGACTCTCCGAAGTCCTCCTGCCTTCCAGGAGGCCCTCTTAGAGGCCTCCGAGGACGGGGCGGCTCCTTCCAAGAGAGACCTCCTTCCTGCTCTGGTGGCCGCGCCCCGTCCTTTCCTGGCGCGCCGCCAGGGCCGGCTACTGTCCCAGGACCCCTGGGCCTCGCAACGAGGCGTTACGTTTTTGCGGTGTGCGTGCCTGCGTGTGTGCGCGCGTGCGTGTGTGCGCGTGAGTCTGTGAGTCTGAGTGGGTCTGTGTGTGTGTGTGTGTGCGTGCGTGCGTGCGTGTGTGTGTGTGTGTGTGTGTTCCGCGGCTCCGCGTCCACTGCCAGGCTGTCTCAGCACAGGCTTGCGGCTTGCCGCACCTGCCACTCCCGACGAACGCCTTCGTGCAGCGAGCGCCCTCCCGCTTTCACCCGCCTCTCGCGGCCGCCCACCTCCTCCTCTTCTTGCCGCCAGACACTTCGTCCGCCCGCTCCCGGCCGACTGGAGCGCGCGTGCGGATCGGCACTCCTCCTCCTCCTCCTCCTCCTCCTCCTCCTTCTCCTCCTCCTCCTCCTCCTCCCTCCCCCCTCCTCCCCCCTCCTCCTCCCTCCTCCCTCCTGCCGCACTGCGACGTACACAGGGTTCAGCGTCCTGGCAAAGAAGGGCCAGGAGCCCCGAGGAACAGACACACGGCCCTTGCATTTGGGATCAGGCGCATTCAGCATCGGCTACGTCTTGGCGAGTTCGGTTGGTTCTGTTTGGGCCTCGGCCAAGTCTGCCTGGATGGTTCCTGGTCCCCGCGACATTCACGTAGGTGTCCAACCGACCATCCTCCTCCTTTCTCTCCTCCTCCGCCTCATCCCTCCGCTCCCGACGGGTCGGACGAGGATTCCGACCCTGAGTCCAACGGGGGCGGGGTCTTCTAAGGAGGCGCCGCGCTGAGCGCGATCCAGAACAGCACCCATCCTGCTGCTGCTACTCCTTCGCCTCCGCTTCCTCCCTCCGCCTCCTCCCTCTCCGCCTGCACCTCCCCTTCCGCCCCTCGCCTGCCTCACCTCGACATGCTTTCGGGTGCTCCCGTATCGTCACCGCCTCCCCTCCCACGCTTCCCTGGACTCGTCCCTGCTTCCCCCCGAACAAGGACGAGGACGGTCTCGCCGACATGGTGGAAGGGCTGTGCTCCTCCAAAAAAAAGGAGGGCAGATGGGTCGCGAGGTACGACGTCACCCGCAAGGATGCGTGACGCGGGGCGGGGGGAGGGGGAAGTGCAGTTGGACGAGACGGACACGGGGAGAGAGACCGTGCTGCCTATCTCTTGGCTTGCCTGTCCTCACAATGATGACCTTGCTCCACATCCCCAGCCGACTGCATCCAAGCGGTTGCTTGTGTGCCATTCCTGACCGCGCCCGCCTGGAGGGCCTCCCCACGGGGTGACAGCATGCGGAAGGGTTCAGGAGGCCCCCGCTTGAGCGCGAAGCGGGCTGAGGGAAAATGATGACGGATGGTGGTGCCGATGATGACGACGATGATGATGACGATGGCGATGCTGATGACGATGCTGTTGACGATGCTGTCGATGACGATTATGTTGACGATGTTGATGTTGAGGATGGCGATGCCGATGACGGCGACGCCACATGCGACGATGCTAGCGATACTGATGGTGATGGGGACGACGATGATGATGCTGATGACGATACTGAACTTGCTCATGGTGATGCTCATGCTGATGATGATTTCGACGCTGCTGCTGCTGCTGCTGATGATGATGATGATGCTGTTGACGTTGACAATGGCTATGACGGTGGTGGTGATGGCGATGGTGATGCTGATGCTGATGGCGATGATGATACCAATGACACCGCTGTCGAGTTCGGTTAGCTGGTCGACCCTTACAGCTCAAGGGTGATCTTGTGCCCTGTGCTTCGCGCCCCATGCCTCCCTGCATTTCTGGGGAAACGTGGCCCTCGGAGGGGTCTTGTGTCATCTCGCGTGCCCCCTCTAACCTAACTCGACTGTGCTGATGGTGCGGATGATTAGGATGATGAGAACGAGGGTGATGAGGATGCTGATTATGATGACGAGGCTGATGATGGTGGAGATGATACCGATGACAGTGATGATGATGTCAATGATGCTGATGACGCTGAGGGTGATGGTGATGTGAGTGTTGATGACCACGAGGACAATGGTGGGCATGTTGCTGATTACGATGAGGATGATGATGATGATGCGCGTGATGATGATGATGATGAGGATGCTGCTGCTGATGATGATGCTGCTGATGATGATGATGTTGATGATGCTGCTGCTGATGATGATGATGATGATGATGATGCGGATGCTGCTGCTGATGACGATGAATATGATGAGGATTGTGAGCTGAACGATGCTGACGATGATGATGACGACGGCGAGGATGACGGCGATGCTGAGCAGTGATGATGCGTAGCAATGGTGTTGCTGTTGACCAAGGCTGCGATCACGGTTGATATGACGAATTGTGATGGCGATGACTTCGGTTGCAATGGTGAAGATGATGTCTGTGGTGATGACTGGCGAGAGTAATGATGAGGCTGGCGACACTGCTGCCGCGGGCGAGACAACTCATGCCGACGGCGACGACGACGGTGGCGATGGTGATGGTGCACGACGACGCGTGTGACGCTGCCGATGGCGAGGAGGACGGTGCCAGAGCCATTCACACGCCTCCCCGAACGCCTCCCCGGAGGTCCCTCGCCGTCGGGCTCGCCGCCTCGCCGTCCAGGCGAAGCGCGCCGCCCGCTGTCAGCCCCTCGCGGCGCGCGCGCGCGGAGGGAGCGGACGCCCAGCTCGCCATCGAACGGCAGGACGGCCTAGGCGACCCCGCGGTGGGGAGGGGCGCCTCTCCCCAGAGCCTTTTGCTGGCGCTGTCGCGGAGTGGCGCGGGCCCCCCCCCTCTTTATTGGCGGTCGCCGCGGGAGGAGGAGAAAGAGGAGGAGGAGGAGGAGGAGGAGGAGGAGGAGAAGGAGGAGGAGGAGGAGGAAGAGCAGGAGGAGGAGGACGAGGAGGAGGAGGAGGAGGACGAGGAGGGCGGTTTGGGGGTTGTTGAGCACCTCGCCGAACACGCTGGGAAACATATAGTTTTATGACACCAAAAACTCAAGCAGCACACAAACAATGGTTTCGGTCACACCCGCGCCTCCCCTCTCCCCCGCAGTTCTTCGGAATGTATCGTTGTAGTTTTTCGATGTGTTTGCTGTGTGCTGCTTGTCTTCAAACGTTTTCCTCCCCCTCCCCCGCCAGTCGGAACCCATCGCCATCCCGTGGAAGCCTGGCGGAACCCTACAAGCCCCTGCGAAGCCCAGGACTCTTTCGAGGCCCTGCGGGGCCCTTAATCCATGTTCCATAGTTTCGCTGCCTTGGTAGGGGGACTCTTGAGTAAGGAATCGTTACCAAAGAGTTCATAGCAAGGAATCCGAGTGTGAACCCCGTTGTACGGAATCCTTATTGTAACCAGTTCGTGCGGCACCCTTAGTAGACAATTCTTCCCACTTGATCCTTGGTAAGAGTCATTCGGAATCCACACGAAGGAATCATTCGTCTTGAGCCCTGGGCAAAAGAAGGTTTCCCTACTAGGGGAGCCCTATTAAGGAATCTTTGGTATCAGAAGCGAATGAGGGATATGTTAATATGGAATCTAGGTTAAGGAATCCGTATTGCGGTATCCGTAGGTAGGAGTCCTTGCCGAGAAGTCCTTACGAGTTCTGACTCGTGGGTCCTTGGTAAGGAAGGGGCCCTTAGTAGCTCCTCCTTCGTACGGGCTCCTCAGTAAGGAATCCGGAATCTGGTTTTCTTAGGCCGGACATCCTGGATGCGAAATCATTCGTAAGAATTTTGAATCAGGAGTCCTGAACAAGGAGCCGTTAGAGGGACCCCGTGACACGGAATCCTCATGAAGGAATCCGTATGAGTGCTCGTGAATAGGGAAGCCCTTGGTTAGGTTTCCTGATCAGGGAGCCCTTACTGAGGAACGATTGACTGTGAACCCTTACTACGGAAGCCTTAGTAAGGATTCTTTGACCTTGCGAAAGAATCCGACTCGTGTGATCGTTTGGAAGGAAGCCTTAGTGAGGATTTTTTATTTTGGGATCCTCAGTAATCTGCCCTTACTATGCGACCCTAAGTATAGGTCCTAATTCAAGATCCCTTGCGAAGGAATCCTTAATCATGGGCCCGTAGTAAAAGCTTTGAGTGAGGAGTCCTTAGCCGGGGATCTTCGAGAAGGGGTTCTGGCTAGGGGAATATTAGTACTGATCCATCAATCGCGCCTCCTTGGTAAGGGACTCCTTAACAAGGCGTCCTTCGCAAGGAGTTCGTACAAGAAGATTCTTCGTAAGGAGTCTTGGTTACTGAGTGCTTAGTACGCCCCCTTGTGAGGACTACTTGTTAAGAAATTTACAGTAACGAAGCCGCGACCGGCTATGTACAGTGCGCATGTCAGCTTGCCTTCGCCGACAAACACTCATCAAGACAAGTGTTTGTGTACAGATGGCTTTGCCTTCCTTGGAAAAAAAACACCCAAACCGCCCACGCTTGCGTCGTGCCTGGCGCAGGAGGAGGATGAGGAGGAGGAGGAGGAGGATATGTTAGATTATAGCGTTCTAGCTGGGTGGGCAGAGTGATGCAGTCACCGACGTGCACCCCAAGTTGGGCATCTGCGTTGCGTGCTGTGCCGCGTGCGCCGTGCAGCGCGGGTTGTGCCGTTCGCGCGGCGCCCCGCGGTCGGCGCCGAGGTTGTGGCGTTTCCTCGCGGCGCCGCACGCGAGGTGCCGCGAACGCACCGCCGCTTCTGCAGCCGACGTTGAATTTGTGGTGTCGCGTGCCTGGAGTTGCGGGCGCGGTGTTGCGCGGTGCTTCTTTCGCGTGCGCGTGCGTGCCTTGCGCGCGGTGCACAGTTCGATGCGCGTCGTGCTGCGTGCCGGCGCGGTACCGTGCAAATAGCGCCACGTACGTGCTGCCGCGCGAGGTGCCCGGTGTTTGCGTACGGTGCCGCGTGCGCGGCGCCGTGTGCGCGGCCTGCGTGGTGCCGCGTGCGTGGCGTTGCGTTGCTGGTGCCGCTCACGGGACCTCCGGTCTGTGCGTGTATGAGGTCTTGCCCAAGCGCGCCGCGCCGCGCCATGCGCGGCACGTTCCGCGGGTCGGGTTGCTCGCGTCGCGGAGGTCTCCTGCCATGCGCGTGCGAAGTACACGGAGAGAGCGGGAGAGGATGAGAGTAGAAGCGAAAGGGGGAAGCTAGGGAGGAAAGGGGAGTCATGCGAGATGGTAGGCGGAAGGGAGGGAAGAGCGGGGGAGGGATGGGACGGCAAGGGGGGGAGGTGTTTGGAGTAGGGGCAATCATGCGAGTGCGACAATTGTTAGCACCCCAGTCGCGAGTGGGCTGCCGGCGGTGCGTTAAGGCCGGGCTCCGGGATAAAATTATCCCGGCAAAGCAACCTAACAGCGATGTGTATAAGCATATTTGGAAGCATTCCCCTTAAGATTCAGGTGAGAATCCAGTTGTAGAATTCTGCTGTTCTCGCAGTCGCAGTCGCGTTCGCAATGACAGTCGCAGTGGCAACCGCCTTAGGATCCAATGGAATCCTCAGGATTCCTGAGGATGCTTAACTATGCCTACGGATTCCTAAGGATGCCTACGGATTCCTAAGGACTCCTAGGGATTCCTAAGGATTCCTATGGATTCTTACGGATGCTTCAACCTGCCTCAGTTTCAGCCTCAGCCTCAGCCTGCCTCGGCTTGCCTCAGCCTCAGCCTCAGCCTGCCTCGGCCTCGGCCTCAGCCTGCCTCAGCCTCAGCCTCAGCCTGCCTCAGCGTCAGCCTGCCTCAGCCACAGCCTCAGCCTCAGCCTCAACCTGCCTCGGCTTGCCTCAGCCTCAGCCTCAGCCTGCCTCGGCCTCAGCCTGTCTCAGCCTCAGCCTGCCTCAGCCTCTCCTCCTCCCCCCCCCTCCCCCCCCATTCAGCCTCACCTTGTCTCAGCTTCGGCCTGCCTCGGCTTCATCCTCAGCTTTAGCCTCAGTATCAGCCTCAGCCTGTCTCGGCCTGAGTGTGCCTCGGCCTCAGCCTCAGCCTGCCTCAGCCTCAGCCTGCCTCCGCCTCAGCCTCAGCCTCAGCCTGTCTCAGCCCCAGCCTGCCGCAGCATCAGCCTCAGCCTGCCTCGGCTTGCCTCGGCCTCAGCCTCAGCCTGCCTCGGCCTCAGCCTCAGCCTCAGCCTGCCTCAGCCTCGGCCTCAGCCTGCCTCAGCCTCAGCCTGCTTCAGCCTCAGCCTCAGCCTGCCTCGGCCTCAGCCTGCGTCAGCCTCAGCCTCAGCCTGCCTCAGCCTCAGCCTGCCTCAGCCTTAGCCTCAGCCTCAGCCTCAGCCTGCCTCGGCGTGCCTCAGTATCAGCCTCAGCCTGCCTCGGCCTCAGCCTGCCTCGGTCTCAGCCCGCCTCAGCTCGGGCATTCAAAATATGGCACAGGACTTGTCTTCAGGGAACACGAAGATCACGAAGTGGCCCACGGTTTGCTCCGGGCAATCAAAATATGATACAGGACTGGTGTTCTGGGAACGCGAAGCACACGAGGTGGCTTACAGTTGGCTCCGGGCATTCAAAATTAGCTTGGGAATTGTGTTCTGAGAACATGAAGAACACGAAGTGGTCTACAGTTAGCTCCTGGCATTCAACATGTGGCCTGGGAGTGGTGTTCTGGGAGCACGAAGAACACGAAGTGGCCTACAGTTGGTTCCGGGCATTCAAAATGTGGCCTGGGAGTGGTGTTCTGGGAGCACGAAGAACACGAAGTGGCCTACAGTTGGGTCCGGACATTCAAAATGTGGCCTGGGAGTGGTGGTCTGCTGGCTCCGGGCAGACAAAATGTAGCTCCTGGCAATGAAAATGGGGAGTCCCAAGATTCCCGCGGCACCCGTCCGGCATCTGCCCAGACCCCCTTGGGGAGTCATGATGCTCTCTTTTGAGACCACTAGGAACCTACAGTTTTCGCTGTTAGGTAATATCTGGCGTTCCGGTTCTGGGTTCCCGTTTTTTTTTCTCCGCGGCGCCTTGCGCCAAATCCAGACAGCCAGGGGATGCGGGTGCCTCCCTCCCCTCCCCCTGCCGCCCTCCCCTCCCCCTCCCTCCCGCCCCCCCCCTCCCGGTCAGGTCCTTTTCTTCCCTCTGTCCGCCTCCCTCTCTCCCTCTGTCCGTTTTCAGCCCCCCCCTCGCTCCCCCGGGACGAGGCACCCCCGGAGCGACCCCCGGGGCCACGATTTTGCCTTCGATTTCGCCCACGATTTTGCCAACGATTTCGCCCCACGATTCTGCCCACGATTTTGCCCACGATTTTGCCGACGATTTGTTTCCGATTTTGCAGACGATTTCGACTGCCCACGATTTTGAACACGATTTTGTTTCACTTGATTCGAATTAACAAAATCGTGGGCGAAAATCGTGGCTCGCCCCAGGGGTTGCCCCGGGGTGGCCCCACGGGTGGCCCCAGGGGGTGGCCTCGGGGGGTGCCTCGTCCTGGGCCCGGACAGGGGCGCCGCTCCAGGGTGCCCGGCGCGCGGCGGCGGAGGGCAGGGGCGCAGAACAGGGGGGGGCCGGGGAGGGGCCCTGGGGAGGGGCCGGTAGTGGGTGGGGGACAGGGAAGGGGCGGGCAGGGGCAGGTGGAGGGCAGGGAAGGGGGAGGTGCGCGGGGAGCGGAGGGGAAACGAGGGGCAAAGGGGCCGCAGCTGTTGGTCTTGAGGGCCGACGCTTTTCGGAAAAGGCCCACTGAATGCCAGCGCAGCCCCGCCCACCTGCTCAGTCTCGCGCAGTGGCTCCACGGGGGGCCCCGGCCGCTT